TATTTCTTTAATGTCTATGGTCGAAACAAAACCGATTTTTTATTATTACAACGCATGCGCATTTTTCAGTCACGTCGTATAATCATTGAATTTATAACTATCGTATTATAGGTGCTAGTTTCGTAGAACGCAGCCATTCTATTAAAAAGTAACGGACATAACCTCCAAAAACTGCAAAATATTTTCAAATACCGAGTCCATGTGTTATTTACTTCCAATAAAGTGTAATTTGTCGAATATTGGCTATAAATGGACGTGATAACACTATCTTCCTCTGACGATGAAAGCTCATCTTACAAACAACCGAGGAAACGAATAAAATTGCAAACACTTCCATCGAAAACAATCTGCCTGGACTCATCAGACGACGAACCGTCGCAGTCCCATCTAGTATCCAAAGAAAACGGCATTACCAAATGTGAACCTGGAGCAGAATGTGACAACTCCATTAATTCGGGTCGTGAAGAAGTAGGCCATGGTATTGCAGAATCGGCGCCAATTCCCTTAGAAAGTACCGAACCTAAAACTGATAGTGCAGACGTAATTGAAGAAAAGCTGACGAGGTTCTTCGATAAGTGCTTCAAGACTGTAACGCGATCGGATCATAAAGAACTTTTTATTCAAGTCATTCCCAAAGTGAAAGCCTACTACGACAAGCTAAAAAGACTGAAGTGTAATTTAAAAGATTTTGAGTGTGTGCTCGATAGGGATACAAACGTCGAATACGATGCCCGGACCGCGTCGTCGAGGTTCGATCAAATCTTCCAATTTCTGAAGGGGAAGATTAACGAATTGGAAAACACGATCGTCATTCAAGGACCGAAAAAGCAGCACCTGAAAAAGCTGGAGAAGGCCCTCAGGTTGGTCAATCGTAGGATAGCGAAGCTCGACAATGCGGAGGTGAACTTCGACGACGAAGAGAACTCTCACTATCTGCAGGCAGCCAAGTACAAAGAGAGGGCGACGAAGATCTTTAGGAAAATTTGCGAGATCCGCAAGGAGGATCCGAACATGGATCGTCCACTGTATACGAAAATTAATTTTACCAAGTCGAAATTTCCGGAATTCAATCGGGTCATTAATAAACGATTTAGGGACTTTCTTCAGTTTCCGACGTATTACGATATGGATCAGTGCCTTCGAAAGTGCGTCGCCGATAAGGGTATGCAAGTTCGCGAGGAGGAACTCAAATCGGAGGTAAAGTTTTGCTTCGAGAAATTGGGGTTGTCTATGAAACAGAAGCGCTCGTTGGACTTGTACGATTCGCACAGTGATTTTATTGCCGGAACCGAGGATCCCGCACAAAATAACGAGGAAGTTACTAACAGATTACGCGAGAACTATAGAAATGGTAGCAAAAGAATGGAGGAGGTGCTCGAGAAATATACGCGGATGCAAGAGAGTGGTGTTAATCCCGATGTTAGTTCAGATAGTGACGATAGTAATATTGATAGCAATTAAGCGAATTTAAACCTTTATACTGAATCGTTACTGTTAATTTTTAACCATTTAATGTATAATTGGGATCCTGTTTGACAGGTGCATTAGGCTATGAAAATTATAAGTATTTAGTAGGGGAGCTAGCACGAAATCCACTGAACGAGAATGATCAAAATTTTAACCGATGGAGTTCCATTTTGCCCTATCAAAGTATGCTAAAATCGATCGTCTGCCGCCTCAGGTCATATGACTTAAGGCGCTGCGGGTACTTCTTGCGGTACCAATTCTGAAAGGTTGTCTTTCGAGAAAATAAGTTATACACCAAATGAAAACGTTGATAATAGCTCTTAAAAAAATATTTAAAAAAATCGCGTACACTTAATAACTCCGTAAAAAACCAATTCTTAGTCGGTTTTTCACGAACTTTCTACAGATATAACTAGGTTACCGTCGGATAAATGAAGCTGATTTTTTTTACAGACTAATGATGGGCACAGCCAATGACTACGAGAGTGTTTCTTTTTTAATTTTTTTCTCTAATTATAAGATATCTTATAATTTTAAGATGATAAGATAATCGTATGATTAGAGAAAAAATTTAAAAACGAAACACCGTTAAGTCATTAGTTGTACCTATCATCAGTCTGTAGAAAAAATCAGCTTCATTCGTCTAATCGTAGAAAGTTCGTGAAAAACCGACTAAGAATTGTTTTTTTACGGAGTTATTAAGTGTACGCGATTTTTTTAAATATTTTTTTAAGAGCTATTATCAACGTTTTCATTTGGTGTATAACTTATTTTCTCGAAAGACAACCTTTCAGAATTGGTACCGCAAGAAGTACCCGCAGCGCCTTAAGTCATATGACCTGAGGCGGCAGACGATCGATTTTAGCATACTTTGATAGGGCAAAATGGAACTCCATCGGTTAAAATTTTGATCATTCTCGTTCAGTGGATTTCGTGCTAGCTCCCCTACTAATTGTACATAATTACTATCAAATGAATACACCATCCAAATTCTATATTTACAAAAATAAAGTTTTTAAATAATATATACTTATACAGTAGACATATGCAGTAGACCCGCGTTTTTGTGAACCTTCACATAGTATTGGTACACGGTGTCCATTTTTCGAGTGCCACTATGGGGATCTCGCTTATCTTTAAGAGTTAGAAAGTTGGTAACATGGCGGCAAAATTGAAACTTAGTTATGAAGAAATCGCAAAAAAACGAAAATTTCTGATTTTTTATGATAAACTAATCGTAGTAGACATTTCTAATTAACGCATTACTCGAACACTTTTTAAGGGATATTTCAAACACGGCACCCTGTTTTTAATAATATTTTCGTACTTCCGGGACTAAAGTAACAACTTCACTCCATTATGACAAGTACTGAAGTGTCACTTTTTGTCCCGCCGGGATTAAATTTAGACAAAAATCCCGGAAGGATGTAATTACTAACAAGGCAATTTCAGTAGGTTGTTCCACATTTTGTATGCGGCACTACTTCTTAAACGCATCGTACTGCTGCTCATGTAGTTTTTTGGATTTCGGTGGTATCAATTCTTTACCTACTTTGGCCGCTTTTTATCAATATCAAATACACCTTTGTCATCCACCACCAAAATTATGACACTAGCAATGACAGTTTCCAAATTATTTTTGTTACCATGGCATAGGGATTGTCATACAACGCAACGTTCCTATGGTAACTTGTTAAGCAGCGATTTTTTGAAAGAACGCGTTCTCTAACTCCATACATATTAAGTGTTTCGGTTTCGGAAGTACGAAAAATATCGTATATACCTTGCGACTGAAGTAGTGGTCTTAATCCCTCAGGTAAATTATGGCCCTCCCTTCGGTCGGGCCATAAACTTTACCTTCGGGATTAAAAGTACTACTTCAGTCCCGCGGTATATAATATACTATTAAGTTGACGGAGAAACAAGGGGGAACTTTAGTTTTTCTCTTATATATATGGTTTTTCTTATGGGCGCCATTTTGAATTATGACATTTTGAGATTACGTCTTTTTTTCTCTTTACGATATATCACACATGGTGGTTCAATATCACATTTTTCCTAAAAATACAATTTTTAATTTTTTGAAAAGGTGCTTTGGAAAAACAAAACGTTCTTTTTGTAAACAAAAGTTTGACAGTTTGATCCATATCTGTCTGGTTCACAGAATACGGCCTTCTCAGAATAGAAACAGCAATGTTACAAATTTGTATTAAAGTCACTAAATATAGAAAGTACCGCAATCCATTGGGCTCGTGTGTTAGAGAGAGAACGCATGATTTTTGCTCAAAAATGGCGGAAGTTACCAGATTCTAGTAACTTTAATGTTAGGGATTGTTCCACCTGTTTGGAGATATCTGTATATATTTTTATAAAACATGACAGTACTATGAAGTTAGGTTATAAAAAATTACAGCTATTCAGATTTTATTTATCAATTTTTTTAAGTTGGCAGCAAATTTGCCCAAAAATGGCGGATGATTGAGGTACTTTCCACTGAAGATTTCTGTGGTACTTTCTATATCAGTGACTTTAATTTGTATCAAAGATCATGATCTTTGTTTGTATGGTATGTTGGCGGACCCTGGTGGGTGTGCTGTGAACTAAAGCATCAAAATCAGAGTCTGGTGACCAGCTTCTAAAGCCATGAAGTCATTTCCCCAATTCGATCTAAATCATAAATATCGATAAAGAATACTCAGTTGTTAAATTAAAGTGTATTTAGATACAATCACATTACATTATTTAACACAGAGAATTTAAATTACATGTTCACAAATTACATATACCTAAAACTCAGAAGTGAGTGGAACTTTCGCTTTGTAGATGTTAACACTTTGCAGAAAGATCCTTACATAACGATTTGTCGTACGAAATATTTGGTTTTAATTGCTGTTTGGACTAAATATTTTTGTTAAAAAATATCTTGAGAACTAAATTTTTTGTTCCAAGAAGTAATAAAACCGCTTCAGCAAATTGTCACACAAGTTTTTGATCCTGGTGCTTAGTTATTTGAGAAGCGAGGGTGGAAGTTGTTGAATTATCTAAAACGTATTTTTTATTCATTGTCTAAACGAATATACAATATAAGTACCTATCTACGTCTATATAAATATAAAACTCAAGTCTACACCCTTTTGCGCTGGTAATTTATAAATTCAATACCTTGCATAAATAGGAGAGAAATAACAGCAAATTTCAACCCTCTTCGCGTTTCAAGCACAAAACAATCTGTTTCAAAATATGGGAAACAATGCCTTTTTGATATTTTATCGTTACATTGCGCCACACAACACATTTACGGTCACATAAACTTGTTCATATAGTACGGGAGGTAGCGTCCTATTTTTACGGGTCATTTTCGCACAATTACTTTTTATTCTGCCTGGTAGTTTTTGCTTAGTTAACACTTAAAACAAGCGTCAGCTGGCGCGACAGCGTGGCGTGATGGTATGAGAGGCTAAGAAACACGTAAGAAAAAATTGTTTTTCGGACCATTTTCGCAAAGCTGAAAATGGTATATATAATAGTGTACAATGTAAAAAGAGCATAAATAACTGTCAGCTGATATTTAAATGTGGCAAAACCTGTTAGCTGGGCGTCCAAAGTGTAGCGTAGCGTTAGCGGGCGCTAGCGCGCGCGGCGCCTTTGAATTTTCATGACCCAGCTAACACATTTTTCCACGTTGTCGTGTCAGCTAACAAGTGGTTTCCTTTTTTTTGTACCATAAACTGATGAGGTACTCATTTTCATGCATGCTGATGTCATATTATTGGAGAAAAATATGATTGAAAGAGAATACATGAGTAAAATGGTATCACATACTGTATAATAATATTATACATAAATTGAAACATTGTATTTTATAATTTGTAACGTGGTTAAGGACATAGAATAAATCAAAAGAGACAAAACAAACTAAAAAAAGGAAACTAATAGCCCTAACCACGGCTGCGGAGAGATTATGGTACGTTTGTGTAAGATTATTTTAGGCGCTACTAACTTTTATTTTCCTGTTAGGACAAAACGCAACCAATAACACATTTCTTAGACAATTCTTAAAAAATGCGTTACAAGAAAACAGACCGGGTCTGCGGGAGTGTTTGTCTTATTTTCTCCTTAGCTTCCTCGCCCACAAGAAGGCTATTTTTTAATTTTTGGGCACGGCTCCCTAACAGGGAAATAAAAGTTGGTAGCGTCTGAAAGATAATCACACACAGTCATACCTACAGTCTCTCCGTGAGCAGCCGCAGCCGTGGTTAGGGCTATTAGTTTCCTTTTTTTTGGTTTGTTTTGTCTATTTTGATTTATTATACATATGTCCTTAACGCACGTTACAAATTATAAAATACAATGTTTCATGTATAATATTATTATACAGTATGTGATACCATTTTACTCATATGTATTCTCTTTCAATCATATTTTTCTCCAATAATATGACATCAGCATGCATGGAAATGAGTACGTCATCAGTTTATGGCGCAAAAAAAAGGAAACCACTTGCTATCTGACACGACAACGTGGAAAAATGTATAAGCTGGGTCATCAAAATTGAAAGTGGCCGAGCGCGCTAGCGCGCGCTAACACTACGCTACACTTTGGACGCCCAGCTAACAGGTTTTGCCACATTCAAATATCAGCTGACAGTTATTAAGGATCCTCAGATCCTTTATAGTTTTGTATTGTCGTCCGTCCGTCCGTCCGTCCGTCCGTCCGTCCGTCCGTGTGCGCTCTAACTCTTTTTAAAAGTGACCGATTGTGTTGAAATTTGGTGTACGGGTACGTTGGACATTAAGGACGGACGCTATTGATTTTCAGGAAGCTGGTTCAACAGGAACAAAAGTTATAGGACTTCGAGTGAATCGGGAACAGGATAAACTGCGTACTCAATATAATAGAAATCAACATATTTCATTCCCTAGGTCATGTATCGAGTTCGGACTTTCGCTAGATTATTCCCTATGACTCTTAGAAGTGTAACAATTCAATATAACTCTCTCTGTGGTCTAGGTCAAAAGTTTTAGAGCAAAATGTACCCAAAATTATTCTTTACACATGAATTTAGAGTTGTAAAAGCTTTCAAACGCATTATCTTGATGCTGAAAGAGTTGATAACGTGCACGTTTGATAACCGCATGTGTGTGATTAAAAAATGTTAAATTATTTTTCTGAGGCCACATGGAT